CAAACGGAATCACATTTCGTCGGTAATTAAAAATCATAAATATGTAATTTTTCAATTCTCGTCCATTGCAGCAAAGTTCAAGTTCGATTTGAAGTGAAACCATTGACGACACCCGTCAATAGTTTCGAATTTGGGCGGGCTAATCGGAGCGCAGTTGTCACCGTAATGGTTAGGCAGAATAGTTTTCAAACAAATTAAATTACGTCTACGTAACGACATGACGTACGTAAATTTTTCGATTACTCTCCTTTACATCAGTTTTAAAAATCGACAAAGACTTCCTCGCTCTCATCATCATCCTCCACTCATGGTCCACAGCCGACTCATAGACCTCATTACAGCCGCCAAGGATGTGGTCAGTGATAGCCGCTCACTTTGACGTCTTTCTTTATTTGTCCTTCTATATTAACATCAATTGTCTCTTTCTGTTTTCTTCCGTTAAAACATATTGTCCTCTTTAGCTAGCTCTTTTATTTTTCTTCAGCCTTTGATTTTCGTCCTCATTGTTTATGACGGACAAGTAAATAGACTTATGTCAAGATCTCATGTCACCGTTACGAAAAAGACGTATGACATAACATCAATACAATAATAAAAGTTCCGTGTTGATTTCGAGTTCAGAATGAATTGATTACCACCAAGAAATTAACTTCCCAGTTCAATTTGAACAGCTCTCACAAAATCACAACATAAAACAGGTTTTAGCATTATTGCTGAAATAATATAACTAATTAGAACCGACACTTGACGTCCACGTAACTATTTATATTTATTTTATTAACAAGCATAGTTTACTTGGAAGGACAATTCGTCACCTTTCTTTCTCAAACTCAAATCTTAAAGCACAACGTTACTGAAATACAAAATATGCATTGTATATACAAATTTGCAGGCTAATTTCACATCATATTTCCTTCATATTCACACCCTTGGTTTTATCTACGTAATGCATCTAAATTAACACCCTTGATAAGAAATTTCAAATAAATAGAAATTTTTGCCATGTTGAGAAAGACATCGAATTGCCTACTTTGTTGGAAGCCCTGGGTTCTAATTGTATAAAGGCCCAGCACCAGTCTCTCGAATCATGTCGACTTTAGCATACAGTGAAGAAAAGAAATTATCGTGATAAACCCTGATATTGTTGGTAGGTAGGTAGGTATTGAAGGTATTGTAGTGATTGAACAACTGTTGTGGACTATGTCCAAAACTCTCCACTTTTAGGAGATTAAATAATAAAGTAAAAAACTGAAAAGTAACATTTTTGGGAAACTGATGATGTAAAAAAACATACTTTGTATTGTATTGTATACGTAATATTTTGTCATATCAGTTCTTAGGTTTTCGCGATCGCTTCAAATTGGAAATGATGCAAATTTCTTTTTTCAAACAGACCAACGTTTCGGGTTTTTACATGTCCCATGGTCATGACTGACTGTCAGTCGAAAACCTTTCATAAGTCTGTCTGTCTCGATATGTACGGACGGCAGCATATCAAGCTACACATCGACGGATCTTGTTCCGTTGCTCCAGAGGCGATATTCGGACAAAAGTGTATAGCTTGATGTGCTGTTAACTATACACAAATGCGGACTGGATGTTGCAAATAAAATTTTGATCAGTTTCCCAAAAATGTCGCTTCTCGGATATCGCCTTTGTTATTGAGGATTTGTTAGGATGATTGACGATTTATTGAGTTTTATAATTTTCGTGTACTTCGTGAATATTCGATGACGCCAGAACACGAGTAAATGCTCTGAAAAAAGTGTAAAATTGTAGGTTTTTAACGACTGTGGTAGTAGAGTACTACTTAGCATTCATTAAATTCTCATTTGTATCAGAATGGTCATTTTGTCAAAAGGTCAAACTTTCATTGCGTCAGATTTGGTATAGTTCAAAATTGTTGTACTTTTGACGTATTATATTATGTAGGAAACTAACTAAACTATAAGTTTATAAGTATTCTACAATAAAGCTCCACTGTCTCCAATCTCCATACAATATTCTTAACGCGCCAAAATCATAAAATTGTCAATCACTCATTTTTTTTAATTTTCCTTAAATATCAGTGAAACGTTCAGAAATCAGCCTTTTACTTTTACAACAATAAAATGACTATAATAATTATTAACTTAACTAAAACTGACCATAAATTCTATAATAATATTTAACAAATATCTTAGAAGTTGCTGACTTTTTGTAAGTAATTTTTTCCTGGTGTTAAGAGACGTAACCGCCGATATTACATTTGCCTAAAATATGCCCAAGCTTACAGGTTTTCTTAAATTGTTCTAGATATATCAAGCCTTGAACATCCAAGCGTTATCCGAGATTGAATGCAATGCTGTCATTTGATTTCAAATGCTATTTATTTTTTATATATTCAAAAGATACGCCGTCAATTTAACAGAAAACAACTTTAGAAAATTATATATATACTCGCTACTTGCTACATTGAGAGTTAACCAATGAAACAGACACTTATAAAATTATATTATTAATTAATTATAAGGGATGTAAAGATCAAATTTTATGAAGAGAGTTTTTTTGTGTGACTATGGTAAGAGATTCCAAGTTTTGTTTAAATGACTATGTTTGGGTTTTTTTGATAAAAAACGACTCTTAGGGTCGTATTCCAGAACTGTACTCACTGCTCAAGTCAGGATTTGAGCAGACTTGAGTATGATTTCTATTGCTTTGAATCATACTCAAGTCCTGACTTGAGCATTGAGTAGAGTTCTAGAATACGACTCTTGGTGGTAACTTCTCTTTTATTTTTCATAATAAACTACTTATAAGGCACAACTTGAACAAACAACTTGAACATAAAAGACGTTCTCCCTTCGTTCTCTTATACACTCATTCATTTTCTTCGCTCTCGTCATTTACATACTCGTTTATACTCGTAAGGTTATGAGTTATGTACAAAATTTTGTACATAACT